CAGCAGGTTATTCACTGAAATCTCATCCTCTTCAGACAATGGTACTGATACTTCTATTTCTGTTTCTCTTACAGTTTGTTGCTCACCCCAACTGCCAGCAGCAGTTGCTCACCATGTGGTATGAAAACCTCTCAGGCTTACGGCAGCAGTCTATTGCTGTGAAGTTCTTGGCTGTCTTTGGGGTCTCCATTGGCCTGCCGTTCCTTGCCATAGCCTACTGGATTGCTCCCTGCAGCAAGGTACAAACTCGTTAAGGTGCATGTTTTTTATGGTCATTTCTATCCAGGGCCTGGAATGAAGTCACATACTTTTCCGTAATGCCATTGGGAAGCGATTTATGCTGTCCTCTAAGATTGCCCCAGAGGAGAGCAAGCATGAGGTGTGGCTTGATATACACAAATGAAGCTGTTAGGTGTGGTTAGAGGTTCATCTTTACAGGTAATAAAGGTGGGGTAGTGGGGGAAGGAAACATTGAGACAGTGGGTGAGAAGAAATGGATAGGAAATAACAACATGGGAGTGGGGTGAAGAAAGAACAAAACTGCCAAAATGGGGAATAACTAAATGAGATCTTTGCCCTTTTAGTTAACTCTGATGTTTAAACTCTTGTTCCTTTTATGCACTTTTTGTTGGAGGTTCCTCCCTTCTTTCTTCTTTCTGATGCTGTATTTTCAGTTAGTGAGCCTTATTGCGGTACATATGCCTAAAAATCTGGTAAGCTCCAGGGGACTGCTTAGTGCTGCAGAGAAGACTAGACTTAATCATGCAATATTTATGGTTTTAAGGGAAAAGATGATGAAACTTGGAAAACTGCCATGTACCTGAATATGGCTGTGCTGTGTCTCACAGCATCAGATGGAGCAGGAGAGATTTGCCAAGACCTAGAGGTCAAAGGACTAGAGTCAACCATTAGCTTAGGTAAAAGCTTCAGCTGTCTGTGGTATGAAATCTGTAGTGAGGTTTCCATCCTGAAAGAGTCTGCTCAAGCAAGTGGAGATAAATAGGTGTGTGGCTGAGTGATAAATAGCTTTTTCACTACTCTTGCCACAAAAGAAAAGGGTGCAAGGAAGAAGATAATTTCACATTTAGCAATAGCCAGCAACATCATCCATTACAAGGTAGAGGTCTTCAGCAGAAGGCTTATCAGAGGTACTTAAATTTGCTAAAATGACCTTTGGCACTGGTAATTTATTCAGTTTTGAAAGCATCTTCTCCCGTTTCCTTTAGAAGCCATTGAGGCTCTCTAAATTTGTCAAGCCCAAGACATTATAGATCCATGGATGGGTATTAAGCAGAGACTACAATTGGAAAAGATTTATGTTGGTGCAATCAGACAAACCTTTTGAAAACGGTCTTCCAGAACATCTGAGATAATAAAACTTGTTTAAGGCTTGGTGTCCTCCAAAATATTTCCAAGAAAAGCAGTTTCTCTTAGAGTAATTGAGAAAGTAACTTTATTTTCTCAAGGTTTGTATCAACACAAAACCCCACAGCTTTTATGAATACTGGGCAGGGCTCCGGAGTTACACACAGAGAAGTGCATGTGAAAGCTGGGCTGTGTTGTGGATGGTTTTGGTTAGGTCGTAGAGGAAATTCATGTGTGGAATTACCATGTTAATTCCATTATGTCAGAACTCAGTCAAGCGGGGATTTATGAAGCTGTTTAATTTCCTTCACCTCTGTTGAGTGTGCTGGAAGTTGGCACACCAGCCAACAGCAACATTTGTGGTGTATTCTCAGGATTACAGAGGTTGCATTTGAATATATAGCAATAGGTGGGGAGAACAATTAGACTAGAAATAATTGGAGAATTAAAATAAAAAGCATAAAAACTAAGGGGGGGAAAACCAGGCAAAAAAATTCTAAATAAGTCAGTTTTACAGCAGAAATAAAAAATGAGAAAGTTATTTGGTTTTAATTCCTTGAGATATGTGTATTAAAATTAAAAAAAAAAAAAAAAGAGGGAGACAACTTTTCATAGACTGTGATTTTATTACACTTTTGTGCATTTTTACTGTTCGATGTCCCTTTCTTTTCACCCCACTTTAAACTGTGAAAAAGCATACGTAGCCTTCTATCATAAAGTCAAATTGAAAGTTCTTTCAGGCAGGAATTGTCTTTTAATGCATGGGTTTGCATTGATCAGAACAATGTAGTCTTGATTTTTGATTGGGATCTGTGGTAGAAATAACTGAATAATGAATGTATTTTTCCCCCATGAATTGGTACCTTACTCAAAATCGTCATTATTAGGTTCGAGGGCTGAGGGTTGATGCATGAGCCTTGTATCCTCTCATAGTGTTAATGCAGACAATTTTATATAGGCAGCATACCCACTGAAAGGATGGTGATATTAAGAGAAGATTTGCATGTGATGCTCTGAGCAGCCCAATTTTGTCCTGGTCAGTTTTACAAGTGTTTTGTTTGGTCACGGAAACAATCTTGATGTTACGCAACTGGGTAATGAAATAATTTTTCCATAGCTAAGATATTTAACTAAAATCAAATCAGGCATGAATTAAAAGACACACGAATGCCCAGGCATGAGTCAGGAACTCATTCCTGGGTTAAGACAGTGAGAAAAATAAAGGAAATTTCTGTAATATGGAATACTGCTTGGAGGAGCTGTCCTGGCCAATGCTATTGTATATCACATTCTTAAGACATATTGGTCCAATTCTGAAGTTTCACATAGAGTAATAGAGTAATTCATATCTCAAAATAATTCCTTCACTGGAACATATTAACAAGGAATATATTTTCAAGCCTTTACTCCCTAAATTTTTTTTTTATTTTTTTTTTTTAAATAAAGCTTTGTGGAGTTAGAATATACCATACCAAATACCACCCTTGAAAATTTAGTAAATAGTATTAACTGGAGTTTGCAACTGAACTCTTAAGTCTTCTTTTACATTCAGTTGCACAGAGCTGCCTTTCTTAAATCCAATTTTAGTGTCAGTTGTTCATTCACCTCTGGATGCACAATCTGTTGACAAGACCTGCGCAGTGTAAGCCTATCCTATCCTGAAATATCTGTGTTGACTCATCCATCTCATGGAGGCCATGACTCTGAAATGAACTGTTGCTTTATATGTTGGTGTCCAAAATTTGTTTCACCGGTGATCAAAAGAGAAGATAAGAGATAGAATGGAAAAATTGCACAGTCTGCTGCCCAAAAATATAATGACAAGAGCAAGCAGGACTGTTTGGACTGTCTGCAGAGCTTCAAGAAGGATTTTCTTTCTTCTCTGGTCGGTTGAAGTGCACATTCCAATATTACAACACTAACAGAGATCATTTATACACAGCGCTCATTGCCTGGGTTGTTCTCTGGCTTTCTTGTAGCCATGCTGGGGATTTATGGACCGTAGATCCCGCTGGGACAGACTCACCATCTTTTAAGCACTGGAACTTTAATGGATCATTCCACCTAAAGCTGTACCTGTACCTTTTTACTCTGGGTATTTTCCTCCCCAGTTAAGCTACATAAATTTTCTACAACAATATTCTTCATACTTCTACTATGAGCACAGTACTTGAAAATAGTAATGGCTTTTTTCTTTACGATGTTTCTATCTTTATTTGTTCCTGTCTCTTGGAGTAATGATAAATTTGCATTTGGAAAACTTTGTTTCAGTATCACATTTTATATTTTTTTTTCTTTTTGACATGTCTGCATGCTTCATTATTTTCCTATAATATGGATAGGATACTAAGTCATGAAACGAGCTATTCCCTTCAGAATGAAACTTTGTATTCACACACTGTCAGTGTTTCTGTCTTAACAGTAACAGCCCGGCACTTCCCTGCAATCCCAATTTGATGAAAGATCATATTTTGATTTAAAAAAGTAATTCAGAAATTGATACATCCAAGGAGTTTCACACCTTGAGCTTAACTGTATCATGTGGCTTGTAAAATATATCTTATTGTCATAAATCATTAGGCTGACTGGAGGAATTGACGCTTCATTAATTTTTTACAGAATATTCTAGTAAACGCTTTCACCTCCTGTAGCTCTTAGCTAAAAATCAGATTTCTGAGAAGATATGAAAAGCATCAGCTCAAGAAAAAAACTGTAAGGTTTCCACAGTACTAAAGGGGATAAAATGCTGATGTAACACTGACTAAATGCAGACTTTTGTTAAATCAGTAGAGAACTAAGTGAAATTACCCACAGAATTCATTTGGTTCTGTAACACACAGGATTATTTCTCTGATAACCAAGGCTATGCTACTTTAATCTCAGGTCTCTTTGTTTTAAGTTTCTATAGACAGCAGAAAAAGCCTAATTATTTGGAGACAATTCATGGCTCAATAGAAAGTATTTTTTCTCTTTTACTGAATTCAGAGTAGAAATGAGTCTTGTACAGACTACAAATGCACTTTCTTAAAACTTTGTTGGAAAGGCCCCATATGGCCATAGCTGCTGTTACGCTTTTCTCTTGCTCTCTGAGCTCTCTCAGGTGTTTTCCTGGTATGACTTGTCTGAGATTATTACTGTATGGGGCTTTGTTCAAACATATCCCATAAACCCATCAGCTCTGTACTGGAAACAAAAATTCTGCTACAAAATGGAAATCTACCCAACACCAGCCGGAAAAAGCTGTTGAGAACTAACACTACAGCAAGGTTTACAGCAGAGGAGTGAACCAGCACCACAAGTGTTGGGACCGGTTTTAACACACTTCGTTTACTCCTACATCTGCCGTAATATTCCTAGACAAGATTAAGGAAACCTGGTTCTTGCAATATCTACCTGCTTGAACACATCCTTATTGACCTCAGAAAGAAGCAAGCATGTTAATAAGACCTCAGGGTCAGAGCAGATTTTTTTTCGTTTTCTTTACTGGGAAGTCTTCCTGGTATTTAGAAATGTGCACATTTTTCAATAGGATTTACTATTCTGCCAACTTCATAAAAGATTTATATGACAATTTAAAAATTCAGAGAAGAAAAAGAAATAAGAATCAGAATCATAAGGCTTCCTTTAAATTTCTGCTAGACCTAAAGAGCCCTGCTTTTAAAATATTTCTTGCTCTGCAGTGATCAGAGACCTCGGCTCCTTTGAACAAAACCGCCATTGGAGATAAGTAAGAAAACAAGGAATTTCCTTTTTCAGTCCTTTTTCCTATTTCCTATGAAGTTTTATGATCAAGTCAGTAAGTATTAAGAAAATTTTGAGGATACCTTGTCATCAAGGGAAATAAATCAATGAGTAATATACTGCAAAAAAAAAAAAAAAAAATCCCATTTGCTCTGAGGGGGTTTTGGAAAGGGCACATCCAGAATGGTACTTGCATTGCTGTCTATTGTGTCTGATGCCACAGGCATTGGTCCTTGCACTCCTAAAAACACTTCTACTCTGACATCTTTCTGAAGTAATGTTTTCTTAGATCACAGAAAATGTAAAATGAAAGAAGTGGTTTTTAAATTAATTAACAAACAAAGCTTTTCAAGAAGAATGGAACAAATATTAGCTATAGGAAAAAAATCTGCTGCTCCAATTCTTGGTTTAATGTCTTGAAATAAATCCTTGTATTCTGGGGAGTGAATCTCCAGCTTTTGTAGTAATTATGAGAGAAGACTATCATACCAAAGCATATTAACAGCATTACTAAAGAATCTTTAAATAGAAGGTTATTTCCTACACATCATTAATGAACTAATAATTCACCATTAATAAAAGATTCTAATATATAACAATGATGTAAGGATGAGAAGTGGACCCATCATTAGGATTTATATTGACACACATGAGTACATTCCTATAACACGTATACACACAAACATGTCTCATATAAATTTTCTGTCTCTTCATTTTCCACTTACCATATGGCCAGGACAACTAGATATTATATGTGGGTATAAAGGAGCAATATCAGATACTGCCACGCATAGAAAAATTATCCAAAGGGCGTAATTTGAACTGCAGTGCATAATGTCCAGTAATAGCAAAGAACAACTTTAAAAATCTCAACGCTGTTTAGTTCATGATCTAGAATTCATTTCTGAATCCTTTTCACCATGGGCAAATTGGTCAAACTTTTATAGGAAAATAACTTCCAGGAGGTGGATGAGGGGGAAAATCTCTTATGTCTTGTGTATGTTTCATTGCAGCTGGGACGGACCCTCCGCAGTCCTTTCATGAAGTTTGTGGCACATGCTGTTTCTTTCACAATCTTCCTTGGACTGTTAGTAGTGAATGCTTCAGATCGATTTGAGGGAGTAAAAAATCTCCCCAACGAGACCATCACGGATCATCCAAAACAAATATTTAGAGTCAAAACAACTCAGTTCTCATGGACGGAATTGCTGATCATGAAGTGGGTGTTGGGTAAGGAATCCAAAATGTCTACGAGTCCTCCAGGGAAATTCAACATGACTAGAAATAGCATGATAGGCAGTGACAAGACAAAGGAAAAACAAACACCAACCAACCAAAAAAAACCCCAAACCAAACCATGAGTCTAAATTAGAGGTTGATGGAAGTATTTTGATTAAAATGAGATCAAAGGTGACTTTGATTTTGGTCACTGCTTTTCAAAATACTGAATGATGCTTAGCAAATTCTCATTTTCCTGATTTTTCATTTTTCATGGTAAATACTATAAATGTCTGTTTGCCTCTGTTGGTTTAATCATCGCATTTTAAAGATGGTAATTCAGTCATACAAACTTATAGCTTCACAATAGGTCATTGCTCTATTTCAAGTGAGCAGAAAGAAGTGTGTCCATTGGGGTGTGGGTGACCACCAGCCCATTTTATTACCCTGTCAAGAGATCTTATTATGGGTCACTGAACCTCAGTTTTTTCATCTACAAAATGGATATATTGTTATTTACTTTTTCGTAATGCACTCTGAGATCTAGTGATGAAAACTGTTAGGTAATTAGGAGTTGGATTTTATGAAATTCATATCATGAAATTGTTACTGGTGAGGCAATAGCACAGCACTCAAACCTTTTAAAAGAAATTGAGTTATCCAACAATTATGAAGTATGGATTCATGTGGATGAACCCTTCAAGTGCAAAAGTATGTCATGTGCACAAGTTAAACTTCCAGGGAGTTTTAGGCAAATTCAGATGTATTACTTTTCCTATGGACACAATTTATTCCTGGCAGGTCAGCTATCTTGAACCACTAATCTAAACAAGCTCAGAAGGATTTATTGGGAAATTGAGCTTATCAACTCTGCAGAATCTTTGCCTACTTCTTCTGTACCTATTTTTACTCATCACCATGAATTTGATTCTTTTCTTACAGCAAATAATTCCACGGTTCCATAAGTACTGATGGCATTAACCCCCCCTGAAAAATAGGATAGGGCTGCTCTATCTGATGACTTCCTGGCCACCATTTCTTTGTTCCCTGTCTCCAAAATAATCAGAACCCCATACAGGATATTAGGCTAGAAAAAAATGAATAGATGCCAGACTGGATAGAGTGGGTCTGTAAGATATATTTTTAAAATGATATTAAAGCAGTTGGACAAGATGATTAGATTTTAGACTAGGTATTCTTTTCTTATAGGCAGTAAGTATCTGTCTGCCTGGTGAGTTCCTGAAAGATGAAGAAGAAAATATTTCATTTAAAGCAAAGGTTTTCACTTTTCTGGGAGAAGAAAAGTGATTCATTGTGGAGTTCTGAATATAATGAGATTTTCTAATGACTGCCTACATCAGCACTGACAGTCTTCTCTGGCCATTTTACCTGTATGCCTACATAAAGCTTCAAATAATGTTTCCGCAATACTAAGGTGAAAGTTTGGTGCACGTGGCCTGCAGACAGCCGGCACAGGGGCTTGGGCGCTTGCCAAGCCTCATACATGACCCTGAACTTTAAGAACTGCAAAAGCGCACAACAGTTAGCAAACTGCCCAACCCTTTTGAGCTAAAGTCTTACAGGTATTATAAATATGCATATGTAAGTAGAAATATAATTAATTAAAAGTAAATGCTATAGATAAATATCACAGGTAAAGTTGCCAAGATGTGCTTTTCCAAAGAGGCAGATGTAAGTAGACAGAAGTATATGTTGAAGTTTAATAAACCTAACTTTTGTGTACTAAATATACATAGCTATATTTAATCCTACTTGGCAACACCTTCAGTTGCTGTCTTCAGACTCAACAGTGTAGGTGTGCTACCTACATTTTGATCTGTAGCACAATCGGAAAGTGTAATTTTATTTATTCTCAGCTTGTAAACCCCTTCCTTCTGTTTCTGTTCTTTCTCTTTTCTCCATCATACTGTGGCAGCAATGATGAATCCTGATGACACATTACTTGTTCCAACCATAGCAGACCATTTTTGACAAATTAGTTTACAGGTCCCTGGTCTTGGTTCTTTTTTGGGGAGAAAATTGGCTGAGTTATCTGGCTGTCAACCATAAAATTATGACGCATGTTCAGAATAGCATTATTCGAGGATAATGTGCTACATTAGCATAGCATAGCGTGGCCGGGAGTGAGCACAACCTGTAACAGCACTCCCTGCAATTAATCTTGCTAGAGATATGAAAATTGAACCACATGTATATATTTTAGGAGAAAATTACCAGCAGGAGAATTTCAGACTGGAGTTACTCAAAAAGATACCATTGCCATCTCTTGCTCCCAACTATTGGTAATGGAGGAGAGTAATGGAGTAAACTGAGCAGAGGCAATGACTTTCAGCCAGGCAAGCACTTCATCCTGCTCCAAAAATCCCTATCAGAGACTTTACTTCCCATTAGCCTGCACCTCTGAAATGGCTGTAGACCATTGCTGGATCAGCCAGGTAGTGTTGGTAGCCCATTTCATCCCCGTGAACAGCCAGATAATCAATAGCATTTTAAGTGGGAGAACACCTTTTTGGTCTGTCTCCTCTTTGTTATGAACGACCATCCAAGGGCTGCAGATGACAAACCTGTCAGCACAGAGAAATACTGCAATGCTCTGAAAGGAGAACTTGCCCCTTCGTACATGAGGCACAGCAATTTCAGCTCGTGCATCTACGACTCATGGTATGCCTTGGCTAGCCTTCCCCCTGCTGCTGGGTCTTCCCTTCTCTTGCCTTCAAGTGAGGAAGGCTCGGATTTTCCTCGTGAGCAATATGGACAAAAGTGTACGGGAAGCAGGGAGGTTTCATTTATGGAGATAAAATCCCCACTGCCAAAGCAGCGGAGGTAGCAGTTAAGCTCTGGGTAGAAGCAATATGAGCACAATTTGCTCTCTTAATCCAAGAGTCTTTGGGGGATCCAGGAAGGCTCAAAGGCAGTTCTCCAACATCAGCTGCTCATGATTTATGTACCAGGCCAGTGGATATAAAAATCTGACAAACTGTTCCTTTTTGTGCACAGGTGGTGAACAGCACTTCTTGCACACTTCTGTTTTCCTTCTAGAAGGGCTGTGCCTGTAGCTTAACTCTTCTTCCCCTGCTGAAACCAGAAATGCCCATCAAGGTGACATTTCTGGTTATCCCTGCTGTGGGACAACAGGCACAAGAGATCTGCAGAAGCTGGAGAGCAGAAGCTCCTCTTATCTTACCTCTCTGTGTGTCAAACTCAAGGAAACGACCTCTCCCAGAACCATCAGGGCCTCAGAAACACCATATTGAAATGCAATTGCATCCTGGCAAACCTTCTCTACCCAAGTTGCCTTTCCTTGTTTCTGTTCTTACATCCCATCTCTCGTCCCATCCCCTGAATTTTAGCTGATTTTTCTCTTCTCAGTGTCTTTACTTGAGGAGAAGCTTTGAATTACTCTCTCACAATGTATATGCAATTACCCAGCAGTACTGACCGAATAATTACTGTAACTTTTCTACTTGTCCTGAATAGACATTTTTCAACATGTATGGATAAAAAATGATTGCCATACAGTTGGCAAAAAAGAATGATCTAAATTATAGGCCAATAGTGTGATACTTTGACGGAGTGATTCTAATTTTAGTCAGTCTACTCACTTTTAGACATTTCTTACTTCATTAATCTGTGACTTAGGTATATTAAGTGACCAAGATTAGAAATAAATTTGGATGGGAGAGTTAATATTTAAACCAGAAAAGACATTTCTGGGCATCAGTGAACAAGTGCTTTGGTGGGCAGTGTTACCACACGTGTGATACTTCCTGAAGTGCTTTAGTACCTTTATACGACATGCATGCGTAATGCACAGGGCTAACGTCGCCTATCTATCACTTCTGGGATACTTTTTTTTAAGCGAGAAATGTTTCTTTAAAATTTCATTCTCACTCCAGGACAGCTCCTGAGAAAACAATTCTTCCATCTTCTCCCTTAGGCTATTTATTAATCTTACTTGTGGTGAGTGATGGCTTGGGATGAAGTTCCTGCTTTTAGTCGGCCAAGCACCTGTGGACTCCAGGAGAAAAGCTGAGAGTGTTCAGCACTCAGCAGACCTCAGGCTCTCTCCCAGGACACATTATACAGGGTATAACCTATACCAGGGTATGGTTCCCAGGACCTGCCTGGAGATTCCAGGGCTATGGAGGTCACAGGCTAGCTGTGGCTTGGTTGCCGGTGGCATTGATAGCTTAGCTTTTCTTTTTCTCTCAAATCCTTCCCCATGAACAAGGACTGACAATGGCAGTTCTTCATTCCTCCAGCCTCCGGCTAGATTCACACTGACTTGTTTCCTTCGCTATAACCCAGCCTTTGACTGCGCCTCTCGGGACACCATGAGGAGTCTGTGAAGTAGCTGAGCAAACGCATTGACATGCCACACCACGAGAGCTTCCAGTAAAGAGGATGATGAAGAGTTCACAAAAAGGACAAGGTTGCAGGAGGCCACATGGAAATTGGCAGGCACTGCTCCTGCTTGATTAAACGTGAATTTTGCTGCTGCTATGGAAACAGGATTGGGTAGAGTGCAGGAAATATTTATCAGTGGGTTAAATATTCCAGTGTTTTAGCTATTCAGAAGAAAGATTTTGGCCCTGGAGCCCTGCTGTGATTGAAAATTGGGCAAGTTGGTGAATTTGACCTGAACTCTTGGATCCAATTTGCCCATTGAAATCACCTATCCTCCCCAGGAAAACATGGATGTCAAAATGTTTCCATTTTCTAGGTTTGGCATTTGTGTTTATCTGTAAGTCTATTGTCAGAGACATCCTAAATTCAGACTAAACTAAGGGTTTTCAAAATGGTAGGTCAGACTTTAATGTATGGAAATTCAATATTATTTATAAAACTTTATGAAAAGTACTGCAAGGGCAGAACTTCTGTCTTACCTTTTCTCTCATCATACCGTATCTACTCCTGGGTCACGTTTCCTCTCACAAAAGTCTGTTTCCATTCTCAAAAGAGAGAACCCATCCACTCAATTAGGGAAGGAGGAAAACATCACCAGAACAAGCAATACCATCTTCCGTGGCACAGTTTAGCAAGGAGATTTGAGGGGCAAAAGAGGAAATCTGCAATTTTTCCAAATAGGTCAGCTGCAGGATTTTCTAATGTTTTCAGTATTTCTGAACTGTGCTTTCTGTGACATTACCAGAAATCTACTTTACTATTGACTCATACAGTGAAATTTTGAAATTTCTGCCTCATGCACAAAAGGTCATCCAAGCTTAAAGTTTTTAATAATTTTAATAAAAAATTACACAAACCATTCTCTTGAGAAATTCAGTACAACTGAAGAGTTATTTGCTTCAGTCTTAGAAGCTGCTATTAGCCAGGAAATGGATCTGTCTGAATATAAAAGGCACCTTCTGTCTTTGTTGGTTAAAACAGGCATGATATGGTCAGAGTGCAAGGAGATCTGGGAAGAGGGTCCACGTGAATACGTGGTGCATCTCTGGAACCTGCTGGATTTCGGGATGCTGTCCATCTTCGTGGCATCATTCACTGCCAGATTCATGGCTTTTCTCAAAGCAACTGAAGCACAACAGTACGTAGATCAGTACGTTCAAGATGATGACCTCAATAATGCCACCCTTCCCCCCGAAGTTGCTTACTTTACTTATGGTAAGATGCTTTTTGCTGTCTAATCCTTCTTGTTCTTTTAAGCTAATGTGTGGCAGTGCTGAAAGCAGCTTTCTTTTTGTGATATTTATGTAGGGTTTTTTTTCTAATTAAACCAAATTATTCTTCTCAGATCTACCCATTCCAGCCACCTTCCTAAACAGTCAGAAAGGAATTGAGATCTGAGCCTCATTCAGTCTCTGATCTTGTGCTAAAGGCTACATTCAGGTCAATCACATCCTGACAAAATAGCTTGAGCAACAAATAATCAGGAACTGAGAGTGAGCAGAATATAATTTAAATTACAGATGAATGAACCTGCTTGGTTTTCCAAATGCGAGAGGGGGAAGATGTGTGAACACAGATAGGATCTGGGGCTGCACTTCTAACCCATGCTGTGCTCCACACCTCTGTTACATCCGGCACCTGTATAATGGCAATACAAATACAAATTATACCCATAAGCTGCTGCTCCTCCAAGAGGAAAACCTTTATTTTGAGGAGCCTATATCATCTATAAGTGCTAAAATTTGGAAATGCAAGCAGTAGCATAGCCTTGACAACCTTATTTGTGATGGCTGAAATGTTTTTTTCTATGAGGTTGACAAATGAATAGAGCTTTGCACCCCAGTGTGGGGACTGCGTTCGTTGCATGCCTCTGCAAGCTTTAGACGTAACTCCGAGCAAAATCCGTGGGGATTTTTGCTCATGGAGGGGCTACAGGAGCTAGAGTGCTGGGCACAAAGGAGCGCCATTTGCTCCCTGGGGCTTTAAGGTAGTTATTCCAGTAATGTGCTTGGGCTGGAGAGGAAGATGTGGGGCAGCAGACATGCACCATGTGGCACCAGAGACACGTTCCCTGACCCCACACCAGGGTGCACAGCCACAGGCGCGTTGGCCGGTCCCTGAACTAGTCACACCAGCTCAGCCTCTTGCTTGATGTGTCCCCTCTGAAGGTAAGCTTCCCTCTCCCTGCACAGGCAAGCAAGAGGCCTCTGAGATGATGTTGTGGTTTTCCTCTCTCTGGTTTGCCACTGAGCCATTTAAAGTGAGTTCATGACACAGAGGTGCAAAGGGTCAGGAACAGAATGTCACAACCAGATCCTGAGAATTCCTCCATCTGCTGCTTTTCCTTTGGTTCAGAGTACTGAAAATAATGCCTAAGTTGACTGCTGTGTCCTTAAAGATGTCACATGTCTGAGTCACAGTCTTTTCATCAAGAAGCTCAGCTGATGCAAGGACACTTACACGTTCAAATTTTCAGTAGATTAAATAAATGATGCATATGTGGTATCAACAAGAAGCTTTTTAAAGTAAAAGTATTAGAGTGACTAGACTGCAAGAATTGGTTTTAATTTAAAGATAACATGAAAATGATACACTTGATGGTTAGATCTGCTTTATCTGAACAAATCCTAACTTTCTTATCTAATGGTAGGGACAGAGATTTCAGTCTCCCTACTGCTTCCTTTGCAAATATTGACCCAGTGCCACGTATCCAAATCTCCAGCCAAACTCCACTGTGTTGTGGTTTTGGTTGTCCATCTCATGACCTTGAGAGAGGAAAAAGACCAAGAGGTGGAAAAGGCACAGCACAGTTGATGTTCAACTAGGAAATAGAAAATAGCAAATTTGTTTAAAGCCATGCTATTTATTTGCTGTGTGACTTTGGTAAATCCCAGTGACTTATTCATTTCTCATTTTTACCACATGAAAAATACAACTAATTCTTCTCACCCATATGTGTACAGCATACTGAGGACTTCAGTGACCAGTTGTTCCAAACACTTTTTTTTTTTTTTTTTTAAACTCCTGGCCAAAACCAAGATTCAGTCTTGAAAAGAGGTCATTTATCATCATAACTTCCACCTAACATTTTACATTACTAATACCTATTGTACGTGTATTGTTTTAGCCAGGAACAAGTGGCTTCCCTCGGATCCTCAGATCATTTCAGAAGGACTGTATGCAATAGCTGTGGTACTCAGCTTCTCCCGCATTGCTTACATTCTTCCAGCCAACGAAAGCTTCGGCCCCCTGCAGATCTCTTTGGGGAGGACTGTGAAGGATATCTTCAAGTTCATGGTCATCTTCATCATGGTGTTCCTGGCCTTCATGATTGGAATGTTCAACCTTTACTCTTACTACCTTGGTGCAAAATACAACCCCGCGTTTACTACGTGAGTACCTATGGAAAAGCATATGCTTTTTTGCGGGGCTCAATCCCTTCTGGTCCATTGCTGCTGCAAGGTCTACTCAGATAGTTTCTACTCCAGCTACATGGGGAAGTCACAGTCAGATTTTGCTAAGGAAACTTGTACCACAACCTTCAGCCCTGGCAGCCAGGTCAAGGCCTGATTGTAGGGAGACATGTAGCTCAGAAATGGTTATTTCTGGAAACCAAAATAACTGATCACGAAAATGTTTCATGCGATGTTCAGTTTAATGCGTCAAGAGAAGCAGTGGAGAAGAGGTTAGATCTAAGATTATTGTTCTTAAAACTGCATCCAAAATGTATGTAAAATAAGAGGGTTTTGCTTATGTGAGGTCTGTTTTAGGATATCGCCTGAGCGCAGCTGTGATTATTAGGTGCACATCTGCAGAGCCAGCTGCTAGTTGTGATGCTCAAAAAAAAAGCAAAACAAACTGGGATGCCTCAGCTGTGTTTTTCAAATCCTGACTGGGAACTTCTCAGCAGATGCCATGTGAAAGCTGCACAGAGCATCGTGCCAGGTTACCGACCACGCAGGGCAGTGGGGCTGCCTGGGTCACGGTCAGCCACCAGCGCTCGCAGCCCTGCAGAGGTGGCTGTGCCAGGGGACCTGTCTCCGCCTTGCCAGGGATGTCAGGAGGAGAAAGAGGTTGGCAAATGCTTCTGGAATGAGGCTGCTTTTGAAAAGGGAAAGCCTACAGCCCTTTGGAGGTAGGACAAAACGCAATCTTGATTCTCCTGGACCAGAGGAACGCAAGCCCCAACCCTGTGGGGGACAGCTGAGGTCCTGAAGGAGCTTTCAGAGGAGGGGGCAGACTGGTGCCCTGCTGTGTCTGAGGGATGTGTCCCGTGCATCCACAGGGAAGCCTCCTCCCTGGCTCTGCGATGTGGCACAAGCGCAGCACAACGGCAGTCAGCTTTGTGTCTCACAAAACCACCATGACTTGCCTTAGGGACACGGTGGGGACTTTCCTTCCCACACACCTGTCTGTGAGGGAAGAGGAAAGCTTGGCGTAATGGTTTCCCCTTGCTGTGATCTGACTTCCAGGCAACCACGCCACGCTTGTAATGCCTGAGCCCACGGCGTTTACCAGATGCAGAGCAGGCAGCAGCTCTGGCATTTGATGTGTCATTTCTCTAATGTGTTGCACAGCGAGCTGGGGGCTTTGTAGCTGCTCTAGAAGAAATTACTTTTTCAGCATCATTTCTGTCCTGCAAGTGGCTGTTTCCTTCCAAATGCACAGAAGCCAGTTTTACCACACCATCTTCTTATGCGACATATATCTTGTAACACGATGTTTATTTTCTGTAATTGAGCCACATATGCCTTCTAGACCTCTCCTCTGACCTCAGGACACATTTTAATGGAAGGATTTATGAGGCCAGAAGCAATTACATTTATCTGTGCTTGGTAGTAAGGTAGAAGAAAATTGAGTGTGTGGGATGTGACTTGCTTCTTATTTGAAGAGAAGGAGATGCCCTTGAAGCACAATACTTAATGAGAATTTGAGTCGATACCATCCTTGATTGCCTGGTGGCACAGTAACCTTCAGTTATGGTATCCCCCAGGCACGTCACTGGAGAATGTCACTGACAAATGCCAGTCTCTGATGCAATGCAGTGCAGTAACTCTCTCATTAGCACTCATTACCTAAGTGGATCTTTCAGTAGTTACCATCTTTTAATGGAAATAATGAGCAAACATAGACTAAAATGATGCTCACTGGAGTAAAGATTGCTTCAATGCCCAAGGGATGTTTGGATTGGGGAGAGTGTTGTGAAAAGACGGTGCTCTTCCTCCTTAACTTCAGCCTGGTGACTACTTATCCTGGAGGGACTTCATGTTGTTATGAAGCAAATTTTCCATCAGCATAAATTTTCCTTTTAAGAATTTGGAAGAGATTTAAAATAGACTTATTTTCTTCTGATTATTTAAACACACAGGACTGTCAAATGATGATCAGTGAAAATGAACCCTTTCATCATATGAAACAAAGAGAATAGATTAACATTCATCCTGAAAATCCTTCTCAGATATCTCATTCAACAAGCTAGAAACCCTGAGGTATATGGTCTCAAACAATTTTAATAAGCTGATGACAAGGTTATATTGGCAGATGGGCAGCTACCAGCTCTAGCAACGTTTCCTTCTCTAGGTTTCGTGAGCTGCCTGTGGGCTTTGCTGAAGATGGTGGGCTCCTGCTGCCGTTAACTTGTTCATGAAAAGAAGGGAGATTTCAGTAATTAGAGCTGAATAAGGAAATGAACTGTTCATTCACTGAAAATTCACTGGGGCAAAGAAGAATAACACCTACTTTTGTGTCCTCATAACCATTCTGTGACTTCAGAGACATCACTGAATGCATTTCCTGGTGGGGATGTTTGTGAATTATACTGAGGATGGGTGAAATTTTACAGAGAACAAGTTTTATACTCAGAAAGGTGACTGTTTGACCTGATTTTCAGACATCACTTGGCTAGTCATAACAGCAAAAGACCCATTGGATTTGTGCGCTAATTGATTGTGGCCAGTTTCAAAGGGCATTGAATTGACAGCTCACTGGATAGCCCCAGTGAGAAACCTTAGACAAACAGCTACTCACTGAAATAACTTCAAATTACACATTTAAGAAAACCACAGTTTCCTAGGACAATACATAGGCAGAAAAAAGAGCAGACATTTGTCCAGATAACACTCAGAGGGAATTGCTTACTTAGTTCTAATGATAATAATCAGTGAATGTTTGGTGTAACTTAGCTTTCACCTTCCCTTGCTCTTGCACTTTTGAAATCATGTGCTCGGTTTTGCTTGTGTTGCCACCTCAGTGGCCTCTGAACTGAGATATCATGCTAAGTTTCCGTCATTTCTTCCATTTCAATGTTCTGGATGCAAAAGAAATAAAGACGCAGTGGACTTCACACAGTTAAATACAGACATTATTTAACTAACCATGGTATAGTTTCAGAATTTTTGTGAAGTTCTTCAATGTGAAAAATAGACCATTTCCGTGACAGTTGCCACCAACCCCAGTTATGTTTATCTGTTTATTGTATGCTGTGTACAGAACACAGCTCTTGAAACAGCCTGTAATTAAGAACATGCTATGCAAACAAAATTGAAATGGAGGCAAGACTGATTGAGTTCATCTTGCTTTCCGCATCACAAATCAGGCTAAAGGCTGCAACGCGAGGTTTTCTGTCTCCTTCTCTCCAAAGGGAAATGTGACTCACTGTTCAGTGCCAATGTTACTTCAAGGCTTGAAGGCTTTTTTCTTCTCATTTTGCTTTGTCAAAATCTGGTATTTTTGTAGATTGTATTGACTGCATTGCTTTTTTTTGGCAGTGTTAAACCTCAACCAATCAATTTAAGGAAATAACTCAGTCTGAAAGGATGCCGTAAGCTTTCTTAAGGAGGAGGACACAAGACTGACACGAAATCATAGCCTTGCCGTGATCTTTTTTGATGAACAGCACACTGCTGTTTACAAAAGCGAGGAAAATCTGCAACTGCATGATAGCCTATGGTCTGTTTGCTTCCTTGATGCAAAATCTTTGTTTAACTTTCACAGGACTATGTGTACTGAGACAAAAAAATATCTCTGCTCTCTTCCCACTGCAAGTCAGCTCTACTACAGTAGAGAGAGTGCAGCGTACCCATCTCCACAAGGAGCATCAGTCAATCTGCCACTGCCAGATCCTCCTGCTGTCAGGATCTGTCAGTCTGGGCAGGACTCCTGACTTCCTCCATTCCTTCATTTGTCTGCCTTTGAGAAGGATAAAACACCCGCTGACCTTGCAGGAAGGGGGTAAATTGCTCAGCTGGCAACAATGAGACACATCAGTGTCTTGGAATCTTTGAGAACTTGGCTCCAAACATCCCCGGCTTGTGTTTTAGTGAGATGTTCTCAAAAAAAAAAACCCCAAAAAACCTCAAACAAAAACCAATTGATGTGCCCTGTGACCTGTGCAAATCTCGTGCAATTTGGCAGTAATTGAAAAGGGAGAGAGAAAGAGCCATCCAGCCTTTTTGGAGGGTAGGGATGGACTAGTACAAGGTCTCCTTAGAAATGCTTCCTCTACAAGAGGAGACGTGTCTGCCTGGGGGCATTGCCAAGCACCGTTTTAGGGTGCTACAGGTCAGGTTCACCTCTCACATCACCTTTCCAGTCCCACCACCACGAGCACTGGTCCCTCACCTGACCCTGGGAATAAGGACTATGGACACTCGCACTGGCACCATGGCCCTTGCCTGCCTCCTCTGCGGTGCTCAGGGCGGTCAGGGCCGCTCAGAGACCTTAATTAACATTTGAAGGAGAATCTGGCACCACTCCAGAACAAAGGTTAATGGTTAAGCTCAGGAAAAGGAGCAGAGTTGACACGTTGTATTAAAATCTGCCGGCAGGGTGGAAAACTAATGGAACCTTTCCAAATTAAAAAAGGAAGGTTAATAGCAGGGTGCAGCTGGGATCAAGGCTGGGGGTTATGGGTTTTATTAGTTTGATAAGTTACTTAGGTGGCAGGTTTCAAAGCCACAGATTTTTGGTGTTATATGTGTTCTTTAAATGGAAAGTATGACACTTAATAGAATAAGCCCGATTGCTACCATAAAAGTGCAAGGTATCTGACACATTAATGCCAGCTACCCTTGGCTGCAGAGGAGGACAGGAGACAAAAGCAGAATGTTACAGGAGAGGAAATGTCCAGCAAGTGGAGAAGTGATAACTCCATAAGTTATAATGGGAGATAAATACCAGTTTGCTGTGGCGGAAAGGAATTGCCGAGTGCTCTGCACTAGCCTTTCAGACTTGAAATTAATTTCTTTTGCTTTTATGCATGGTGTAATTGATACTGGAGTTGATGTAAAGCTTATTGTTCCCTTAGGATATGTCATAGTTTGTGTCTATAATCTGTTTTTATGAACGGATTTAGCAGGATTAGGCTGTCACCCTAGTAAAAAAACAGTCCATCAAAATAATTTGTAAATGGCATTGTTTTCTTAAAAGGCGTTTACCTCCTGGCAGGCAGGGGGAGAGGGGAGGTAATTAACTGTTAACATGCTAAGGATTATTCAGTGAAGCCAAAATTGTTTCTAAATTAAAAATTAAGCAAACTGCTTCCAAAATGTGCCATTGTCTCTCCTCCTTTCTTCCTTTTCAGCTGTGGCTGCTCCCCTTCTGCCTGCTGTGGCTTTGACTCCTCTGCGGCAGACTCTCCTTTTGACCTGTCAGTCCAGCCGCGTCCTTTCCAGCCCCACTTCTCTTTGTCCTTGGCTTATTCCCCTCTTGTTTTCCTGTCCTTCAATGTTTTTATTTTCCTCTGGTTCCTTTCTGCTTTCAAGCAAGGGTAATAATCAAATCAAAATGCCTCTCTGTAGCATTTTCTACCACTCCTTAATTTCAAATTTTTGCTACAAATGCTTGGGCATCTGACTTGTTTGGTGTCCCAAAGCAGGATGGGAAGAAAATTAGACTATGGGCTGACTATGTTTGTGCTGTGTGCTCGTTATTTTAATGCTACTAATCAGAATTTTTCAGTCTCTCCTCCTGGGTAAAAAGTAATGCTTCTCTTCTGCCCTGGAAACCACGTATAAAGAGGTGAAGCTATGTCCCTTCCTCCCTTTCCCAGATAATCTCTGCCTGTCTTCTCATGACGAGAAAAGGGTGAGGGAGCAGAAGTAAAACGCCCTGCGCAAAAGTTTCAAACTGCAAGTTGTCCACAGAGAAGTCCTTAATAGGGACACAAAATCCACGTGACAAATAATGCACCTGGGAAGAACAGGAGGAGCAAATAAGGGGATACTGTAACTTTATATTATTAATCAGAAATTCTATTTCTTTATCAAATCGGGAGATATGATTTGCCACATCCCTGGGTGATGGATAATGGCTGTGCCAAGGCACCATATTTATATTGGTGGATCGCCACTTTTATTATTAGCATTTGGCCTGGCTAACCTGGTGTCAACTCTGTAAAGTGATTGTTTGCTTTATTTTTAGGGTAGAAGAAAGTTTTAAAACCTTATTCTGGTCAATATTTGGCTTATCTGAAGTGATATCTGTGGTGCTGAAGTACGATCATAAATTCATTGAGAATATTGGATATGTACTCTATGGAGTATATAACGTGACTATGGTGGTGGTGCTGCTTAATATGCTAATAGCCATGATCAACAACTCCTATCAGGAAATTGAGGTAAGATAAGAAATTAGATTACAAACTCAATGAACTTAATTATGACTGATAATGAAAATGTTAAAAAAAACAAGGAGGCTGTAGCTTATTCTGTATGCCAGATTGCTGTTGGAACACAGATCTTGCACTTTGTAAGAGTTAAGGCTCTGTCTGTCCTCCCCAAATTAGGATTGAATTAATAATTAACAATGAATCATTTCTAGAACAACTTCAACTTCCTTGTTTTTAATGAACATTTGTGAGCAAACCCAATTTCCTTTACATGTATATAATGAAAGCAGTTCATGATTTTTTTTTTTTTTTTACTATGTTGATTATAATTTATCCACATGTTACCTTAGCTGCGTTGTTTGCTTATGATAGATTGAGTAATATTTCAGCCGGCTTTTTGCCCTCTTCTCTACTGCTTAAAAGCCCGAGCCCATCTAGGTCTGAAACTCATGTATGCATATTTCAAAACTCCATATTTTCCAAAGATCAGCTATACAAGCTTGACCTAGATTTTTTTGAGGAGTGTCTAGGTCTGAAAAACATAAGTGCATCAACATTCACAAAAAGCCGCTTTTAAAGGATATGAACACAGCCCTCAAGGAATATGAATAGGTGTCTGTAGAAAGATGTTTGCGGGGTTTACCTGACCTTGTTCAGTAGTATTGCTGTTAGCAGGCTGGATTTTAAATGCTTTTGACATAAACAACTCCCTGCTAATGTACCTAAAGGCAGGAAAAAAAATATTATTTGGATAATGTTAATGCTGAGTCACCTGTTTCCTCTGATTTGTTAAATGTCAAGTTTCTGTAGTTGGGTTTGTATTAATTATTTGTTCTAATCTCCCCTCAGAACCTGACACTGCAAAAGGCCAGAGCTGAAAATATTTTCTTACTGTAATGTCTGATTCATCCATGTACTGTAGTGCAAATATATATCTCTATCTTGTGCGTGCTGTAACTCAGTCTAAATGTCAGAGAGACCTTACATATGTTCTCTGCCCCAGAAGCTTTCCTGCGTGCAGAAGGCAGAGTCATTTCCCCAAAGGTTTCTAATCACTTAAGATCAAGCGTCTTCCTGAATCCTCTTCTACTGAAACAAGATTTACTGCTGAAGAGGGCTCGGCTTCTTAGTGCATTTTCTAGCGTATTGTAGTAGGTAGAGATGCTCTTCAAAGTTTCCAGAGAAAAATCTCTTAAAATACCTGAATAGGTGGCCTATATTAACTTTCTAGTCTAAACTTTGTGATGACCATTTTCTTGGAAAAATGCTTGATCATCCTTCTTGATTGCGTGGAAATTTTCAAACCTTTGTTAAAAGACTACCTGTAACTATCAGCAAGCAAAACAAGTGTGAGCTATTTGGCCCAGATCCTCCTACCTGAGGACTGAGAAAAAATAGTAAAACTCATACTAGTTCCTTTCAATCCTCGGTAGCAGGGAGATTAAAGACAGAGTCATCCTACTGACTGCAGAGAAAGTCCCCTTTGCCAATGTGTTTATCTGATGACAGCAATGTCAATAACAACAGACGATGGTCATTACTTCGGAATTAAATTCCATTATGATCAGTGGGGACATGTTTTACTGTTAGCTGGAGTGACAAGATTATATACTCATGTTTTCCATTGAACATCTCTCTCCAGCTACTTCTGTTTTTCTTCTGTTTATGCCTCAAGTATTAGAGTTTTCTGCCAACTTCACATTTATAGAAAGAAAAAAATCCTTTTGCCAGCCAAAAACCAGAGCTACTTCCATAACAGCTCTTTAGCTGCTTAACAGAAAATCATTAAAAAGTTTACAAGTGATTTCCACTGTAATTCAGCTTCAGGCTTCAGTGAGGCGCAACCCCAGGCAACAAGAAAGCCAAACGGCAGAAGTGAATGCTGCTCCGTTGGCGAAGACATATTGCCGTAACTGTGACAGAATTAATCTCGGTTGCGTTATGCCAGTTTTTGACTGGGTTTCAGAGGTACGGGGTAATCAGAGGTTATTAATTTCAGCAGAACACAGATGCACATGAGTACAGGGTGTTGGCAGACCCACGCTGCTGTTGATGCTGCTGGTCTCCATATAAACCGCAATGAAAACAGCTGTAGAGCAGCTGTATCTCATCCTTTCTTTTGCCTGATAAATGGTCCTGATACGTGGCCCTGACCATCCAGGAGATTCACAGATACTGAGCGATGGACTTTTCCTCCACCTTCATCAGTGGCAAGAGGTGAATAGTAAGAGAATTAAGGTGTATTGATCTGGGGATACATGATGGTGAATGCAAACAGGATCAATGAGGAAATCGGCTAATAATAGAAGAAATCAGTGACCTAGCCTCTTCTATCGGGGATTCCTGGCAAAATGCAGTGGTACCAGTTAGCTGGCAGATAAACAGTGTTGCAGTTAATCAGGGACGGTCTTTGCTGTTGTGCACATAGCAGTTTCTTCTGCTTTCCATGATTCTGTATATGTTCTGACACATTCATTTATCAGCATAGCACATGCACCAGATTGTTACTGAAAGACAACCTCTTTGATATCCAAGGAAACAGGAAATAGCCTAGTATTTGGAGGACTTCTACTCTCTGTTTATCCATTGCTTTGTTGAAATGTTCCTTATTATGAGATCACCGCTGAGAAGCCTACAAAGATACATTGTGTGCAGGAGTCTTGGTCTGGCAAACAGAAATCTGATTCCAGTTAAACCCTACCTGTATGTTTGTCCTTGTCATAGCTAAACTCCTTCCTATTTACTAATTATGCATTTGGGTGGTGGTGTTTGTTTTTTTTTTTCTCTTCCCTTCCCAAGGAGGATGCAGATGTGGAGTGGAAGTTTGCACGTGCCAAGCTCTGGCTATCGTACTTTGACGAAGGAAGGACTTTACCTGCTCCTTTTAATCTAGTGCCAAGCCCTAAATCATTTTATTATCTCATACTGAGAATAAAAATGTGCCTCATAAAACTCTGCAAATCTAAGGCCAAAAACTGTGAAAATGATCTTGAGATGGGGATGCTGAATTCCAAACAACGGGTATGTTGTATGTTCACTTTTCACCTTCTTTGTAGAAAGAATTCGTGCCAGGGACCTTCTGGAGGGGGTTGCATGGCACACAGGTAGATCAGGGACAGCACAGCCTCATCACTGAGTATTAATTGTATTACATCACACCTAGAGGGTCCTCCCAGACTTGTGGCCTCATTCTACTAGACACTGTCAGGACACAGGGAAAAGAGCAATTTTTATAAAGACAGGCACTTTTATAAGGGAGTTTCCCAAGGCCAAATAAGCAAGGGCAAAGACCAAGGGCAGAAGCAGAGGCACAAACAGGATCCCAGCTTCTCTGGTTCCTCACCTACCCAGCAGGTCTTCATGCCTCTTCAAAACATCCACCTTCTTTTAAGTGATTTCCAAATTAATTTTACTGTCATTACAACATTTTATGCCATTCCAGGGTTGGGAACAAGTTTCCAAGCAGGGCTTAACAACACTTCCTAAATGCCTAAAGCTATAATTAACAACCTCTCTACTTACATCTGCCTAGTGATGTGCAGCCACTAATGGGTAGATCCTGCCTCAGCCACCACACCTTGGGTCATTTGAAATAGAAAGTTGCTTTGAAAATACTGGCTAATTATTTGCTGCAACGCTGTGTAGCACATAAATTTATAACAAACACAATCCCACTCACAGGGCAAGTCACCTGCTTTAGATTGGAGAAGAAAATGCCCAAACCATTCACAGGAACTCAGGTACAGCTGCTTGGATGCTGTCATTAAATTCCGTGGATTCAGGGATGCAAGGAGGCAGCATTACTTCAAAGTGTCCTTAAAACTTTCTTTAATTTTCTCATCTCAAGCTGGGTTTGAAACAAGAGAACAACACTGGGAACCCATTGCTGGGGGGAAGGAAAAGCCCTTTGAAATGCGCTGTCTATTATTTCTTACAGTCACTGCAGGTGAGAGGCTGATGTGGCTCCTCGGCAGGCTTGGCCAGCCTTTCTAGGGCAGCTGAGACGTGAGCAGCCTACCCTCAGTTTTAAGCTTGCAGAAGGGAAGAAGTGTACTAAGAGACACTGAGGAGAAGGAAACGAAAGTTGGAGGAGGCTTTGCAGAGTTTGCCTTTGTAACGTGCAGCCTGCTTTTGGGCTTTGTCTGGATCTCTTGGCTCTCCTTGAAGGAGCAAGCAGCTGAGCAATACAACATCTCATGGTGAGCCATCCGGCTCCAGGCAAAGCCCACGGCCTTGGAGGAAATCATACACCATGAATTTAAGAGCTGCTTAGGTCTGATCTTCTTTCAGTCTCTGCCAGAGCCTAAATTGGAGGGAGAAGTATATCCATGGGGTCTCCTCCATGCTATCAATTAATTTACCCAACATAGCGAGCATTGCCAAGATAGACAAACATTTGGGGGCGTTGTACTCTACAAATGCATTTAATACTATTATTGATTACTGAAAGACTCACTAGAACAGTGGAGTCTTGAAATGAAAGAAATGCTTGTCCTTTAACTATCTCAAATAATGATTAAAACAGGTAATATTTTTAAAACATTATTTGAACCTAACCACATGAAACTTGCTTTGTTTGAAATTTGCTTTCTGCTTTAAAGCATAACCAAAGTAACCTGCTTCCCCAGGCCACATGAGTTAAAATGTCTTGCTTACCCTTTTTCATGGAACTTTGGCAAAATTCATAGTTTCCATGGCTTTGACATAAGCAATTAAGACTATCAGTTGTTTCTTGTTTGCCTGTTGATTTTGTTCACAGATCATCTTCCAAACAGTCTCTTTAAGACCATGGCACACTTGATGAGTGAGAACTAAAAAAAAAAAAAATTACATGACTACTTCAAACTTTTACTCCAATCATCATCATCATCATCCTGATTTAAAAAAAAAAAAAATTTAAAAAAATCACGTATTTCTCAGGATCTGTGGCCCAGTCAGGGCGAAAAACCCTTACCTGAGTGAAAAAAAAAAAAAAAAAAAAATGACATGATTACTTCAAACTTTTACTCCAATCATCATCATCATTCTGATTTAAAAAAAAAAAAAAAATTAAAAAAATCACGTATTTCTCAGGATCTGTGGCCCAGTCAGGGCGAAAAACCCTTACCTGAGAGCCTCCCCTATACGTACACTTGCATACAGGTGCAGAGGTCTATGATATGTATTGGCTCCTCTGGATCGATGATATAAATTAATTTCTTTGAATAAATGATTTCATCATTAGAACTTGGAGCAAAATGTTCAGAGGTAGAAAACAGAGTCAAAGAAATATCTTACAAATAGTGTATGTAGTCTTCAGAAAAGTCTCCTTCAAAGCTTCTAGAATACAAAATTAGTAGCCAGGATGTCCGCTGATAAAAAGTACTGCTCTATCTAAATAAGAAAAATGCATATTTTTGTTGAGCTAAAAAAGTAGCAAATGGTACTACTGTTTTAGAAGGACTGATGAAAACCAATTCTGTTTCAGAATTTGCTTATTACTTATTGCATTGATTTGTTCTTTTTAAACAAGTGTTTATTTTTCTTCTTAAGTTGTGTTCAAAATTGATAATCACCAATCTAAGATTAACATACTTTGTGCCTCTTAACACCTTCTTCTCGAAAACTTGTATGAGAATACCATTTTTGTCTAGACAATTTAGAATCTAACTTTTTTCAGTAATTTGTGGTGTTTGACCCTTTTCAGTCTTTCAAAAGTTTATTTTTTTAGACCTGGCTTTTATTCTACTATTTCTTACTGTTTTTATAAAGCTTTGTTTAGTTTGGGGCTATCATTGATTTAATTGTATTGTGATGTTTTATACTTTCAGAAAGTTCGTTTTCACTCTAGCACTCGAAATGCAGAAAATTTTTCTGGGAAGAATGCTTATAACAAGCCCACAAGATATCAGGTAATCACAGCGTGAAAGCAGGAGCCGGGGAAGAGATCTGTCAGTGAGCAGCTCTTACCTGCAAGGGTCATGTTTGCTTTCGTCCAGTCGATGCCATCCTGTGATGTGCCAGGCTGTGGCTTAGCACGGACGCGGGACTGGGCTGGGGCACCGCGGAGACAAACGCAGCCTATCACCCATGGAAATACACATGGTGTTAACGTTTGCCATGCTAATTAATTCCACTCCAGGATATTTAATTTAATACAAGAAATATCATTCAAGCTTTAATCCTCCAGTCTTGCATTGACAGCGTTTCATTTGTCATGACACAGCATCACCTCTCCAGCCTTCGCATTAACATTTGCATGTGCTTTCTCTGGCAGTGACTTGTCCTACCAAGCTAAATCTGCAATGTGGTACCGTTCAAAAATACATGTGGCTGCAGTGGTGGCACGGGGTAGCCCAGCCATCGCAGGAACTAACGCAACTGTCTGTCTCAGCTGGAGCGTTCGTGCCAGCGGATGTATTATTTCTCGTGCAAACGTGTGTGGGACAGTAACGCAATACGCAAAATGTGCCCCACAGTATTTTTTCCTTATTTTTTAACATAAAATGAAAAGGAATCTGATGGCAAGTGATATGTCTGGAGGAACCGACATTAAAGAAAGTTGAGGAAAGTAATAGTTAAATTGGATAAAATGCACAATGGCAATTCTAGAATTGGTCTGTCTTGTGTTGGCACAACATCCAGCACAATGGGCTCCTAGGCTGTACAGCAGACCAGTAATAAATTTTTACTGGTTTTAAAACTTTTCCAAGCTTTTGTGCCAGGATAGAAGGCGTGTCTAAAAAAATCTAAATCAGAAATGGGATACATACATTCTGGCATCTGGACTTAGTTGGCTTGATACTATCAAAGGCGAAGGGAAGAGATGATTGTGTCCTGCTCAAAATGGCATTTCAGCCTTTCTGACATTTTTCCCTTCCATTCAAACCCACAGGTAATGGGAAAATGCGTCAGTCTCTGCTGGACTCATTCTCTTCTTGTAGCTATTCTTTTTAAATGAGACCACCTAATGTTTGTGGTAAAGTAGACCCTTATTTCCAAGGTTGAAAAAGCCAAAAAGACAGCTGTGAAAAATAGATAGAAAAAGATAACTACCTGTTATTTTACTTTAATAATGCTCTTACTAGGCTTGTCTTCAAATGATCTTAGAAAGTTTCAGTTGCTGCAGGAAGAAATTGCCTGAATAATAAACGTAGAGTATAATAGTCTTGATTACCTAAATATAAAGAAGAACAAACAGTTTGATAATCTGACCAGCAACTTTTCTTCTACAACTGGGAAAACCTTTGAAGCAGTAGCTTCTTGCTGAATTGTTTTCTTCAGTGGTATTTATCAAGTGACGTATCTGCAGTCTGTGTGCTTGGTTTGTATGCACATGCATACAGTGCTCTCGAGGGATAACAAAAGCATGCAGAACCTAAATATGCAATTTGAAAAGTAGGAAGAATAAGTCAACACACAGCTGCCGTCACCTGGGAATAAACTAGTCCAGGCAAAATGATGCCTTTATCAAACCCTCCTGAGCTGAGACTTTAAGATGGAGCGTTGCTAAAACGCTGTGTGAAGCTCACAAGTTTTTTTCCCGTTTTCAGCACTGCAATCTGTCATGTTATCGTCAATGTCTTCAGGAAAGGATTTGTCAGGAAAAAAATAAAAGGAAGAGTTGGTACTTTTAAAAGCTCAGAGGCATATTTCTTTACTGTTTGAAGAGATAAAATAGCAAAGAGGTGAGGAATGAGCAAATTCCTTTGCTCGCTTCACTCTCAAGCTCTTCTACCAGAAGCTGAGCCCCAAATCTCATGAGTCCTGTTGCAGTGCCTTGGCCACAAATCTGCCCTTTTCTTCTCATTTGCCTCTGTACTATAAGGTATAGAAGGTGTTCAAATAGCTGATGGCAAATGCAGAGCTTGAAGGCTGTGCCAATAAATACATTAAAAATATTGAATTCAGTACAGAGTTATAATTTACAAATGCCTGACCTGTTCCTAGAACCTATTATCTTAAGACCATTTTAAGACCAACACTCAGTAGTTGAGTGTTGCATAGTATAAAAGATCTCTAAGACCTGAAGAATTTCAATGAATGTTTAGAGAATGAGGGAACAGTACTTTATAGAAACCAGATGTATTTGAATTGTTTCAAGTTTAGCATTCATTACCAAGAGGCTGTCTGTAACTTTTGTTCAGCACGTCCCTGCAGTAACCAGGATTATTTTGCTAAGAGGCGATTTCACTGATTACAGCTAAAAACAGCAGTACTGGGGAGAAGGGGAGGAGCAAAGCTTAGAAGCCACAGTGCAATATTGATACAAAAATTAATTACTTTTCCTAATGATATTGGCAGAAATATCTGAGTGACTAAGTAGACTCTTGTTAAAAAGTGGTCACATTTCTAATATTTAGTTTCTGTAGACAAATCTGTATTTGATAGACTAGGCAGCCTTAAGCTTGTGACTTCTATCACACATAGTGGCTAAGATAGGATAGCGTTTGAGTAGTGTCCATCAAAAATACAAGCTGTATGGAAACTCAAGTAGATAGCTGTTATGTTATCATATTTTTCCAGGTAATAAGAACATTCACTGTGTGCTGATTCCTTGTTTTAGTCTAAATTTCCTCTGTCATCTGTTCTGAAAAAATAATTTCTTTTTGGATCCAGGATTTCCCTACTTTCCCCAAACATTACTTCATTTATGTTTTCTCAGGTGACAACCCTACCTCCCTCTGGATTCTACTACCTTGGCCATCTTCAACATACCGTACGTGCGCTGTGCCTCATCTCTGTTGCCTTAATGACTCACCAGTTAGCCAGATGCCTCTGACACAAGGACAGTCTTAGACATCCCATATTCCATGACTGCATGACATACATAAATGACTGGATCCTTCTTTGATGTTCACATGCCTTTTGCACGGCTATAATACATATTTGGCTACTAAGAAAAAAAGAGCAGGTGTACTGATTTCTTCATTCATATTTCACACTCGTTGCAGCGTTTTTCAGTGATGCTCCAAGCAGAGACATGTGATTGCTCTGTGATTAGGTCACCCCATGCTGGGAGAGGCTTTTCCCTTAACAGTGCCATCTGGTCAATGAAGGACATTTGTGTATCTGTTCTTGGATGCTTACTGAGGTGTCTGCAGAGGATGCACCTAAATCACTGTTTCTGATAGAGCAATCCTTTTTATGTTTATCATAGTTGAGAATTTTTTTCCCCCATTGATGATGGGGGAAAATCATCGATGATGATATCTTTTCTGTAGAGAAGAACTAGCAATGACACAGGCCTTCAGCTGTAACCTGATGTGTAACCCAAGACTGCCAAAGTTCCTTTCCTTCTAGTTAAATGTAACTTACGCATTTTTGGAACAGTATCACATTGCAAGCTCGTATCCATAGCCATCTTCTACTATTTCCATATACACTGTTCCTTACTAACAATCATCTCTCATTTTATAAGTCTACATGGCTCTATTTTTTCCCTGTGCTTGTCCCTTAAAATCTGCCATTTCCCTAAGAAACTTCTCTCACTTAAGCCAAGTTCTCCACTTCTGTTCAAACTGTCTTTTCTCTGTCCTTCACTAAATCTATTTTCTCTCCTAAACCCCCAATTTCAAAGCAAACAGTCTTTCTATTAACCTTGGGTCAGATGTTTAGTTCATCATCATGAGTGAGTTTGCTAACACCATTAATTAACCACTTATTTCTTCTTGTAAAGTATTTTTCATTGATCTATTCAAGAGCAACATGGATCCCATTTCTTAGCTTGCTATTGGATCATCTGTGTTTTCTTTCTGTCTGTGGGACATACTCTGCATTCATGTGCATCCCACAAAATACCCCAAAGTGCCTCATACATGGGCTCATTTTGGAATGGCTGTCAATCAACTATCATAGTACAAAGTTGATAATATAAAGTAGAAAATAAATGGTAAATCAATAAAAGATTCCCTTTGCATCGTCTGAAGCCAGGTTTTATCCGTAGTGAACACAGCTGTTTGAATTGCTCGTACGAGTCTAGCACTAAGGCAATGTGAATAAGCTCATGTTAAGATAAGTGTTTCTGTTCTCTTTTCAGAAAATAATGAAACGTCTGATTAAGCGGTATGTACTGAAGGCTCAGGTTGACCGAGAAAATGATGAGGTCAATGAAGGTAAGTGGATTTTTATAATTGACACAGATTAGAGCATGTAATGTTATTGCTATTGATATGGCCAATAAGAGGGTTGTGCTTAGATAACATCCTCTGTAAAGAGAGAGCACGCTCACGCTTGCACTAAGGTGAGCAGTGGTGACTCTGAGCCACATTTATGCTCTTGAAATTCTGGGTCCTTAATTTTCCTTAGCAGAACACATATATCATAGGATCTGTCTTTACATAATCCTGCTCTGCCCTATAGTTCTACCGCTCCTTGCTTTAAAATACCCACGATATTGCCAACACCTAACCTTGTCTTGGGGTCTAAGTAAAGCAATTTTTGAGTGTACTACCCATGCCTGTCGCAAGAACTTTTTTTGAACTGGATAAGGATTTGTAAGGCCATAGTATCATGTAGGATTTATATACAGATGGAAAAGAACCTCCTTCTAACACCTCTTAACTGCTACCCTCCTGCAAATGCCCGGTGTAGGTGGAGATCAATATGTGGAGAGAGAGAAAAGACTTGAGAAAAAAAGATGACCTTTTGTACATACTTGCTATTGCTGTCAGTACCACAACTGCAAGTACAGGTTATTTCTCATAAGTCAAATATTAAGTGCAAAAATGCAGGGACATCATATGGACCTGCACACACATTCACGACCAAGGACACTGATATTAATGCTTTCTCAGGTCTTAAAACCATAGAGAATAATTATTTGGTTCAATATTGCTAACAAGAACATTTTTCTCCTTTTAGGAGAGCTGAAAGAAATTAAGCAAGATATTTCTAGTCTCCGCTATGAACTCTTAGAGGAAAAGTCACAAGCTACTGGCGAGCTGGCCAGACTAATACAGCAGCTGAGCGACAAATTTGGGAAGAACTTAAATAAGGACATTTGACGGTGAGCACAGAGAAAGGCAACCAGTTTTCTAAACATTATTCAGTCTCAACCAGCATCTTAGGAGGGCAAAAACCATGCAAAAGATGGGTACCGCACCCTCAACTTTTGCTAACTAACAAGTATTGGTAGGAGCACTTTGCATTACTTCTGTGCTTGGTGAGTTACCAGTTAAATCTTTTATGATATAGAAGTGACTTACTGGTAAAAATATATGCCCTTTGACATCAGAAATATATGCACCATAGGAAAGGCACTTCTGGTTAAGGGCAAAAAAGTTAGATCTTCACCCATTTGACTCCAGTGAAGACAATGCAATGTGCTCATTTATACCAACTGGGACTGAGCAGAATTGGGTGAAGTCCGAAGGCAAAATGTGCCAAGCATACTCCTTGAAAAATTTTAAAAGATTCCTATCCTTGGGTGTGTACTCTCCTTTTATGTTTACATGGGCATCTATGAAGACAACTTTGAACAGCACTGTGGTTAAAGAGTTAAGAAGCAAATGAGAAATCATCTGCTGAAATGACCAAGGCAAAGTATGGCAGGTAGAGGTCATCTACCTTTTGGAAAAAATGGACCAACCTTGTTGGGTAAAGCATCCTTTCACCCCTCTGCTGATAAAGTGATTCCCAGCCAAAAACTCCTCTCCGCCTTTTCCAGCTATATTAGCTAGTCCACTAACGCCTATGGTCTCTTTGTTACACATCTAGCCTCTCTTTGATCCTTAGATGATCCCAGCTTCAACAACAGTGTACTGAAATATTCATAATGATGTGAAACGCACTTCCCAGGAATACCCAGAAATAACATATATTGTGTTAATGTGTTCAGTTCAAGGAACAACATTAATCCAGCGACAGCGATGCAACTGAGCTCAGCTTTTGGATTCCAGAGGTCAAACAGCAAGCCATAGGGTGAGATAAATCACAAAGAACACAGCCCAGTAGTTTCAAACTTTTAAATCAATACAAAAAAGCTTCAATTCCACTGAGAACATTCTGGGGGGGAAAAAAAGGGGAAAAAAAAAAAGGAAAAATCATTGTAGAAATTATCGGTTTATGTGTTTGGCTCTTATAGAGGACAAGGAAAGGATTAAAACTGTTTTAAAGGCTGCAGTAACACAAGTACTTGGATCGCATTTTTACAACTGGAAAGTGATGAGTCTGCAACACAACAGCAAACTTGGATTGCTTGAGGTTTTACATTTAGCTACATGATTTCAACTACTTAAAGCACACCTTACTACTTGGGAACCACTGAACTGTACTGTTTGTTTACAAGAGACACCTATATGATGAACATTACATTTAGGTATCAGCTAAGAAAAACAAGCAGAACCAGAAGGTGACCTGTGATCAGTTCTTAAGTGCCAGATGAGAACACAGATAGCCTAATAGAATAATAGTTATATTTGTAAAAAAAAAAAAAGAAAAAAAAAAAGAAAACAAAATAAAAAAGTGTACTGTACGTAGATCTGTTTAGAGAAAAAGCGAAATACTGTATTTTTACCTTTAATAAGATTCTCTTGTATACTGTAATATTTTTACCTAAAAGTGGGGAAAAAAATAAAATTACCTCATAATATTTTGTTGTACATTGAGTGAAATATTTGCCTGATCTTTTGACTATCTGGTACATGGACATTTTTTTGCTTTGTATGAAAAATGAAATCATTATATGAAACAATTTTGCCATAGGAATTCTGAAGCCCCGAAAGAGTCCAAAAGCAAAACTTAAACTACAATACATTTAAAAGGAATAAAACTAAGAAATTAAAAGTTCTGTGACCAACTATAGTCTGCAAAATTCACTCCTTGTTTGCAGTGCTTAATTTACAATTACTCTATCCTTATTAATGAGTTTGTAAATCTACATTCTAAGAACCAAAATTAATCTCAGCTGGCTTCAGACAAGCGTAGTGCTGGTACTGAGCGTGCAAGCAAAAATTAAATGAGTAACATTGAATTTACAGGCTTTAGCTGGCAAGATATTCGCCCCTGGATTGCCCCACCTGTACTTTACGGCCCTCCAGCACTGGGTAGCGTTTCCCATAGCTGTTGTTTGCAAATGTGGGAAGTCTGATAGCTCTCGCAATGTAGTGTCATTGATGAAACACTTAAATGTCAACGTTCAGCAGAGAATGTGAAATGTCAGTGTAAGACAGACACTGCAAGTAATAATATTTGCAAGAATAACTCATCGCTTTGGGCTGTCTTCTGCTACTTAAACCAGAAACTGTTGCTGATTTCACATATTCGGTTTTCCCCATGAGAAGAGGGAATATCTTTCATGGTAATACTGGGTTTTTTCCACCCGTTTTTCCAGTCGCTGTGTAAAACTTTTTTCAGTTTTGAAAAACCAGCTCTGTTGCCCCAGTACTGTCTTAAAAATGTATTTCATTACAGCTCTGTACCTGGCTCCCAATCAAAGCATTGCTTTACCCTTCCCATTCAGTGTTTTAACATCCCTTAGGAATTTAAGCAGAATTATTCTAGGTAGAACATATAATAACCACCACAATTTCCATTTCATATGGTATTGCATGTCACGTCGGATGAGAAAGTTAAGTGGAATCTCTATGACACACTTTCATTTTGCATATTTAGATACAGCTCAACAAAGGGCCTGTCCTAAAGTCCAGCAACGCCAACAGGCAGGTTCTCCTATTGCTGATTATTGCAGTCAACTCATGTTCTGGGTAACACCAATAGCCCCGCACTGTGACGTGCCCCGGCGGAGGAATAGCAGTGCCCAGGCGGAGGAATAGCCGTGCCCCGGCGGAGGAATAGCAGTGCCCAGGCGGAGGAATAGCCGTGCCCCGGCGGAGGAATAGCCGTGCCCAGGCGGAGGAATAGCCGTGCCCCGTCAGGTGCTGCCTGCTGCCCTTACAGCACCTGCCTAAGTGAAGCAGTGCAGTCCTGCCGCAGCTAGTCAGCATGCTGCTCTGCATTCAGGTATTTGCTATGAAGGAGCATAATATTTTCTAGGACTTCAAAATGCGACTAAAAGATGTATTAAAAAATACTGTTTTAAAAAAAAAAATCTACTTCCTCTCCTTTTGCATTTACATTCCAGGGACTATGAAGGCACTGAGGTTTCTTATATGAATATTCATGACAAGCAAAATCCCACTTCATCAGAGCGCTTCTCATCTGGTCCCAGGAACACACACAAGGAAGATGCACACTGCGTATTAATGTGCTATCAGCAGAAACGATGTTAAATTCATGGTTTATTCTCTAAGCCCTGTTTATAAGAAATTAAAATTAAGAAGCCTTACTAAAAGATCCCTGAGAGAACTTAGAGAGTTTGAAGAGGAAAAATTAAAATAGCTGGATCCCAGATCAGATTAGACCTGAGATGTGCAGGTCTCCTGCCCCATGTCCCATCACCTCATGGCAGGCCAGTGTCACATCAACCCACCTGCTGGGTTAGATTTGATCCAGTCTGTAACAGTTCTTATTTTTGGCTTTGAAATACAGGATTCAATATTCCTTGGACGAATTCATACTGCAAAGGAATGGAACTTTGTCTGAACTCTTTGTAGACACAGAATTATGAGTTTTTATGGGAAACATGTTAGAGAAAGATGAAACTAACCTGAACTCTTCCACACAAGGGTGAGTATTCTCCAAGAGATGGTCCTAATTCTGCAAATCCCGCAGGCCAATCAAACTAGAATTTAAATAGACACCCTAAGGAAGATCAGAACAAAGCCATTAACTAGCCAATATTGATTTGCTGAGTGCCCAAGTCTTCAGACAATTGTTTCACACCTGGCAAAGACCAAACCGGTCAGCTGCTCCTAACAGGAAGGGAGCAAACAGCACAAGCCATTAACACACCTTTAAATAGCTGAACTGCAAGGTTTTAAGCCAGGAACCCCTGCTGACCAGAGGTGCAAATCCTGACACAAAGGAGCTGCCCCAGGGCACCTGGCATCATGTCACTGCTTGCAGCAGCACGGGATGGGCTTTGCAGCCCACGGGGTGGAGGGGATGTTTCATACACAGCTTTGCTTTCACCGCTGGACTAATTCTGCCTGAAACTTTACAGATAATGACTAACGACTACTGTGCCCAGTTCCCACAAAACATGGTTTAAAGGTAAATAAAAAGCGAGAATGGTGTCATGAATAATGGCTTAGAAGACCGCCTGCATCCTAACCAGAGCTCACAGCACATTAAATTGTCAGAGCTAGGCTTTTTTTTTTCTTAATTAATCTACATGAGAAAAGCATTTCCAGCAGGCCAAAAGAAATTGCCCTAATTAAAAGATATAAGAGATTAAGGATCACTCATGAAGGACAAGCCAGGACACAGTCCATCACCACAAACGCAGGAGACCTGAGCAGCGTGGACAGGGTTTTAACCACATCTCCTGCGGATCTCTGCCCACACCCGGGGCCAGGTCTGTGCCGCATCCCTGGGCTGCAGGTGGGGACGGAGGAGGCAGCATCAGTCCTGCGTCGTGGGCAGCACCGTGCCGCAGAGCACCTCTGCTGCCTCGTGCCCCAAGCAGGAACGTGGCAAACAGGGCTTCAGTTCCTAATCTGGTCTGCATTTGCCTCCCTCTCTAACCAACAGGTGGGGAAATGCTAGTCGTGACTTCACAGCCAAGGCTACCTGGACTGTCCTGCAAGATGGCTTTCAGATGGGGACGATAGATGTTTCCTCTATTCAGACATTATAAATACTTTCTCTGTGACGCAGCCTGACCCCTAAAAGCAGCTCTGCCCTTGCTTTGGCCAGAAAACTCTCACCACTACAGAGGCAGAGATGCTACAGCCAGTAGGTCCCATTGCTCCCTTCTTCACCCACTAGGTTCATGCCCATCATTTTACCTTGCCAGTGACTGGGCTGTGAACCCTGCGGGTGGGAGACCTGGTGCTGGACACCAGCCTGCACAAACTATGGCCTTAAGGAGCTAACTTACATTTGGAGTAAAAAAGGATAGAGAGGGCACAGGAGAAATAGCCCTACCTTCCAGTGAGGGAAG